GGCGTTCTTATCTTTTGGTCTGCAGATGTATTCGTGTCAATTTCTGTTCCTGCCTTGTCGTCGCTATCTTCTCCCTGCTGCACATCGATCGTGTCTTTTGATTCTGATCCCTTTCCACCAACTTTTCCCGGTTCCGCACCGAGCCCATTACTCGGCGGCCCTGACGGAGCGGTCACCTGTGATACTGCCTCTCGTTGAGAGGGCGATGGACCGACGTCGGCAGGATCCCCAGGCGTCGCGTTCTTGTTTGAAATTCCTGGGGCCACCGAAGCTGAATTAGTGGCTGGTGCATGGGACGGCAGACTAGAAATATTTCCATTAGAGCCTGAATTCGGAACCAGTTCAGTGTCTTTCGCGCACACGGACGGGCAGCAGCACAGGGCGAGCACCAACAGGGCGCACAGCAGACGGCACGTCATCATCATCGTGAGTGTGGTCGTTCGGTGGTGTGGAGCTGATCTGCACAGTGAGGGACATGGAGAGCAACAGGGGAGACGAGAGGCGCGGCAGACACACACAGAGGGCACACCACAAGAGAAGAGGGCAGCAGCCAGGCATGCACCGTACGCCGTACACACAGGCCTGCCGCAACACCAACACACAGATGGAAGTGGGAGAAGCAAACAGGAGCGGCACACAAGGCTCCACCGCATGCACACACGGCGAGAGCGGTCCGTCGTGTCTGCACCCCTCACGGAGGGTGCGCACACACACAAGAGAAGGTGCAGCGCACACCGCAACACAAAAGCAAAGTAACAATTAAAAAGAGGAGATCCCCGCACACCACGTGAATTGTTGGTCCACGGGAAAGCTAGCCAATATTCATCACAAAACAACTTGTCATCTTGTTGTTGCTGTATGCTGTTGCAATAACGAGTGAGTAGCGCAAGGGCCGTCCGTACAAAAGTGGCGAGCATTCCGTCCGAAACGTGCCGTCGTGCGGGCTGGGGCACCCCAAGCAGTCGCATTCCCAATTCCCAACGACGGGGCATTTCTGCAGTGGATGAAGCGAATTCTCTCGTGGTCCATCTCGAGTGTCCGCGGTTGTGCTTCCTGCGTGTCTTGCCTGCTGGCATGCTTGGCACTTTCTGTGGCGACCTGTGCGCGAGGCGCCTGTCAAGAAGACGCTGGCACCATTGTGGCATCCGCATCCGAGGCCTTCTCAAACCATCGGAACGCCAGGCTGAGCACGTCCGGCATGTGCCCTCATATTGTGGACGGACGAGCGCACTCTGCTGCAGGTTGGGCAGGAGAACTTCAATCCGCCGCTCGCTGGTCGGCAAGGAGTTGCGGCGCTCACGTCGGGAAGAGGTTCCGGCGGAGGCAGAGGCGGGCCGGTCTCCTCAGTGAGGGAGGGACGGCACCACCGACACAGAGGGTTATTTGTGATCCGCGGGGCACGCGCAGGCATGTCGAGGAGTGGGCGGGAATCGCATCGCGCCTTTGCGCTGAGCCGCCGCTCGGGGCACGATGTCCGGGCCGTGCCAGGAATAGAGTCCCCGCCACACCGACAGGTGCCTGTCATACGGCGCACGCGCCCTTCCTTTTCTTCTGGGCATCCCTCCAGTACGGTCACCTGACTGCAGTAAAAAAGTCCACGTGCCAGATTGGGCCGCCCTCCTGCGGGAGGGATCGTGCAATGACTTCGTCGTCAGCGGCCTCGTTGCGTGGGATACCGCAGTGCGATGGAGAGAACATGAAGTTTACATAGCGAACTCGCTGCATCAAGGAGAGCAGCATAATCCAACTCTCTTCAGTGACGTAGTCTCGCATGGCCAGTGGAACGACGCGGGGTGCCTCAATTGCCGACAGGGAGTCTGTTGCCACCAGGATTCGTGTGGGCGATTGGGATGTTCCCAGACAAAAGGTATGAGATGTATAATGCCATCTTCAGTGGCAAGGCACTCTGCTCTATATGAGTATGCGAGCCTGCCAGCTGCTGCACGATGGACCTCCACAGGGAGATCATTTGTCGTGGTGGAGCCGTACAATAGTGCAGCGGATCCAGATGCGAGTTCGGCGAGAGATGAAGAAACGTCTGTCCATAATTCAAAATCATAATCTCCCAGAGAGGAGTAAATAGAGTCATTAGCCGTGCGCTTGACGTCGTCAGAGGCGTCTTGGGCAAAGCGTGGCTGACTAAATTCCACTTTATTGCAGCTCACAGTGTCCCAGGGGAAATACAATGTTGAATAGGAGGAGCACGATTGTGGTTGCGGGGTGTCCCAATAATGTTACATACGCGTTGTAACTCATTAATAACAGCATCTCTCGGAAGCAGGATTGATGTCGCCGCTTTCCTATGCATGGACGGCGGCATGGCCTCCAATCAGACTGCGCCACGCAAATCCTCAAAACATCGGAAAAGTGTGAGGCGTTCGTGTTGTGTGGGTGCGCGGAACCCAATGGTCCTCCGCAGCGGTGCTGGATTGGCGGCCAGGTGGACAGAAGTATCCTTCTTTGCTGCGCGTGGGCCGAGCGATGCAGTGCAGCTGTCGCGGTGCCGCACTTCAAGGCTGTGGAGGTGAACGGGGGCCGGACACGGTGCGATTGCCTCGCCGCCGTCGTGTAACGCACTGTGGAAGCACCCAATCAGAAAGTATCGCGTGGTTTGCTGGGACGCCCCAGCCTCTGCACCCGGCCGCAGCTGATGGCGGCGTGGCACGGTCCGCATCGCAGTCCAACTAAAGCATTGTTTTTTCATTTGCATTGTGGTGTTTGACGAAGGTGCGTAGGAGCTTCCCGATGTGGTGGGATGCTTGCGATTTTGAAGAATGCGTTGCAGGCGCACAGCGTCGTTTTGAGGAGCAGGTGAGTTTCTGCCGCATCAATCAGCAAAAAAAGTCTCGGATGACAGCAGGAAGTACTGCGGTTTCTTCTTTTTTTTGCAAAGCGAATTTATTGGACGGTGTGTTTGATTGGCAGCTTTTGGGCCTTTTGTGGGAGAAAGTGGGAGGCTGAGGGCATTAGAACTGAATTCATTTTGGGTTGCTGCGTTCCGTTGAATTTCGACCAGCCGTGGCACTCTTTTGGGGTTTGACAGCTGTCTCTTTTGTTTACTTCCCACCGCAGCACGTGGATAACACTGATCCGAGGAACTTTTGTTTGACCGCGTGTGGGCTGCTGCCGTGCGTGGTTCATGGACTATGCGATTGTGTGGGGAGGTGCGTTGGAGTGACGAATACTTCTGTTTGGCGTGTCGCGGTGTGTCGAAATGATGTTCGGGAATCATGTGGAGGGTGTTGTTTGTGATTTGTGTCTTCTCTGGTGGAGCCGACGTGTGTGGGGGATTGTGGCATTGCTGGATGACAGTTCCACGCCATTTTTCAGTATTCCTGGATGTGCTGAGGAATGACGGCTGGCGACCAGCGTGTTGGTGCTGCTGGTGGGAATAAGAGCATCGGGAATGGGCCATTTTCTCTTTTCCGTGCTGGAGCCGATGAACTGGCACGAGGGCACCGGCTGCAGGCTGCCTGCCAGCACGTGTGAGCAGCGGATCCATGCACACACCGACGCTCATCGCAAGAGCGCGTGCGATCACAGCGGCCTTTTGTGGCGTGCTTTTGTGGGCATCAGTCCTTCGAAGAATGTGTGAACCAAACGGCTGACTGCACACGAGGAGAATAAGTGCGTGCACTGTGCCGTGTTTCAGCGTCGATGGCAGAGCGGCAGGAAGCCCGTGCTGGCAGCTGAGATCTTTGCGTCGCAAGGGATGTCGGTGTTGATTTTGGATTGTCGAGGGTGAAGTGATTTTGCTGCTGCCCGTGTGTGTGGCCACTCCGGCGGAGGGCGGAGACAAAAGGGAGGGATGCAGGCGCTGCGTGTGTGTGTGCAGGTGCCATGCAACAACGTCACAGCAAACATGCTGCGACTCGGTGACCCTCACATCGCTGTGGTCCTCACTCACAGCCCGGGCACGGCCCACACCGATGCACTTAGTGGACGGAGTGGGGCATCTTTTGAGCGCTGCAGGGAACAGGATGTGTTGACGCAGCCACGACGTGCATGGAGCGTCACGATGGCACAGTCGGCTGTGGCTGGTGGAATATTTACTTCTCGGAGCCAACAGAGAGAGGGAGAGAGCTGCTCCTGCTGCTGGCGTCGTTGCTGCCCTTTGTGGCCTCCCATGCCGATTATTGTCTGTCCGCTGATCATGGGTGGCATGCCTCCACTAGTGACGTCGTCTGCAGGCATTCCACAGCACCAGCGAAACACACATCATTTCGCATGCTTTGGCTGTGGATGTGGTGTTGTGAATGCAGCCGGCATTATTTTGCCCGACTCCTTTTCACTGCCTTGCGACAAATAGATGCGTCCCCGCCCGAGTCATTCACTGCACCTCCGTGTGTTGTACTGCCAGCACAAGACTCTCTTGTTGTCTAACGTCTGGCTGACAGTCAAACACCACAGCGTTGGAACACACAAGGATGTGGACTGCCGCTCACGGTGTTGGGCACCGCTGTTTGGATGCGGCGGCCACACGAGCGGATGTATTGTGGCACAATCAAATGCGTGAAATACGCGGAATCACAGCGGCTGCAGTAATATCAGCGGTGTGGAACCACGGAATATGTGGGGGGGTGATGCATGATGAATCACGGTGAGCGGCATGCGAGGGAAGTGCACCGCGACGGAGCGTCATCCCGCCCTCAGCCTGCAGGGGAATGTACACCCACAAAATATATGGACGAGACACCACCAAACACACATGCCCTTCCATGCAGCAATAAATAGGAGCGAAGGTGCGTTGTGGTGTTTGGGAGTCCACTCACATATTTTAATTTCCACCGCAATAAACGGTGAGGAATCAGGTGTCACAGCAACGAAAAGAAAAACAAACATCTACAGCAGCACTTTACCAGCGAAAGGCAGGAACAACAAACCGAATTCTTTGCTGCACCAACACAAGAAACATTCACAAGGGGAAAAGAAAAGAATTGTGCACCCCGCAGAAATCCCCAACACACGACCCAGGCATGAAGGTTTGCCCTCTGGAAAAAACAACATATGCGGACATCTGCCAACATTCAAAAAGAAATACGAATAAATGATTGCTTGCATTATTCCATTCCTTGCACTTATATTTGCGTGTGCAGCTGCTGCTGCGGTGGTGCCCAGGCCTGCATGGAGTGGTGTGCGCTGAATATGAACGCAGGCCAAAGGCAACTGAATTATTTTTGTGATGAATATTGGCTGCACTTCCCGTGGACCAACAATCCACGTGGTGTGCGGGGATATCCCTTTTTTAATTGTTACTTTGCCTTTCTGTTGCTGTGTGCGCCTATTCCTCTTGTGTGTGTGCGTACCCTCCGTGAAGGGTGCCGACACGACGGACCGCTCTCGCCGTGTGTGCATGCGGTGGAGCCTTGTGTGCCGCTCCTGTTTGCTTCTCCCTCCTCCATCTGTGTGTTGGTGTTGCGGCAGGGCTGTGTGTGTGTGTGCCTGCTGCCGTGGATTGGAGTGTGTGTCGTGCGTGGTGTGCGGCGCACGGTGCATGCCTGGCTGCTGCCCTCTCCTCATGTGGTGTGCCCTCTGTGTGTGTCTGCCGCGCCTCTCGTCTCCCCTGTTGCTCTCCATGTCCCTCACTGTGCAGATCAGCTCCACACCACCGAACGACCACACTCACGATGATGATGACGTGCCGTCTGCTGTGCGCCCTGCTGGTGCTTGCCCTGTGCTGCTGCCCGTCCGTGTGCGTGGCAGAGACTGAGAATGGGCCTAAAGCCGCTCCCGTTCCACCGCCTCCTCCGCCAGAGCCAACACCCCCAACGGCCGGTCAGTTAGGGTCGTCAAGTTTGGAGCCCGTTGGAAAGCCGGGAAATGATGGCGGAGAGGAACCAGGATCTTCCAGTACGGCAGGTTTGGGACCAAAAGTAAGTACCGAGCCAAATACATCACTGTCAGAGGGTACGAAAGAGCAACAAAGTCGCACCGAAACATCCGGAGAAGAAAAAAATAAGGAGTCTGAAACTTCTGCTCAGAAAACCACCACGACGACTACAACAAAACCACCAACTACAACCACCACGACCACGACAAAGGCGCCAAACACCACGACTACAGAGGCGCCAGCTGTGTCGACCACCCGCGTACCGTCACGTCTTCGCGAAATGGACAGCAGCCTCAGCAGCTCTGCGTGGGCGTGTGCCCCGCCGCTGCTCGCCGCATCCGCGCTGGCGTACACCACTCTGGGCTGAAGAAGTGTGTGCGGGCTGTGCGTGCCAGCACTCAGCCGCGGGGATTTGTGCGCGTGTGTTGTGGTTCACTGTACTAAATAAGAGGAAATAATGATCTTGTTTTGCTTCACTTGCTTCTGCTGCCGTGCTGTGTGCTCCGCGTTGTGCCCCGCATCCGCCACGTTGAACGCATCTCGGACACACTTATAAGCATGCGCACTGGAGCCTTGGGTTTGTTTTTAATTTCTTTTTTAATTTCTGATTTTTTAATTATTGTTTTTTATTGCTTTTTAAAATTGTGGTTTGCGGGGCGGTGTGCGAGCTCTGCAATCGTACTGATTCCATCTGCCTCGTGGTGTGTGGACTGCTCCTGGGCTGTTGCCGTTTTTCACTGTGCGTGGTTGAATAATTTTTATCTCCTTTTGCTTTCACTCTCCGTTGACGTGTTGTTAGTTTGTGCTGAGGGCTGCACGCAAGTGACAGGAATGATGGCGATGATGACTGGCCGTGTGCTGCTGGTGTGTGCCCTCTGCGCGCTGTGGTGCGGTGCCGGCGGTGGTTGTGGTGAGGAGTGTTTGCAGGATGAATTCGGCGGTAACTCATATGTGGATGCTTTGAATTTACTGGCGAATAATAACAAAGATGAGCTTAAGGAGGAATGCTGTGAAGCATCGAGGATAAAATAACGTATTTAAACACGTTGAATGACATTATTGCAGATGCGCTGACGGACGAAAAGACGAAGGAAGACAACGAAGCTCACAGAGAGCCTGGCGACTCGAAGGATATGGGGGTGTCAGTTGGCAGCCCAACAGCGAAATGTTCAAAGGCTGCTGGCACGAAGAATGTCGGAATGTCACCTCATCTTTCTCTTTCCTTGAAGGTGGATGGTGGTGTTGACGCCCAAATTCACAGCCCAGCGTCTGGTGCTGGCCACCAGCCGCATTCCGATGACGGTCGCAGTGAAGCAGGGCAAAGGAATCACCCAGAGGCCGAGCGCTGCAGCACAGTCCAAGCAGCCTCGGGTGGATGCAGTCATGTGCCCAGAGGTGACGCAGTGGCGGAAAGATCGCATCAACACAGCGTGGAATTGAAAAGCAAAAAGTTCTACGACAAGGTCGAAAGAACAGAACAAACGGGACTGAAGATGACAGAGGCACGGAAAGGCACGGACGGAGCACCAGCACCACCACAAGATCCAATGAATATGGCTGAACCACAAGAGGATAAATCCCGGAGAGTAGCCGCACCCGAAACAAGCCACGCAGAATACATCTTCAGGCAGCAGCCAGAACCAAACAGCTCAGTCTTCATTTCCCAGTGATAGTGGAACCACCGACAGTTCGGATAACAACGGCACATAAAAGACATCCAAATGCAGAAACGCCTGGTGCCCCACTGAAAGATGAAGAGCGGAACCGTGAGAGTACAGCTGGGAATGAAGACGCAACAACAGTCGGATCCGCCGCTGTGCAAAGTAGTACGACGACGCCTGGCGAGAATGACAGCAGCACCGCGGTCTTCCACACCACCTCCCCTCTTTTGCTTCTTCTTGTTGTTGCGTGTGCGGCTGCGGTGGTGGCCGCGTGAGAGTGAGGGAGAGAGCCGTGCACCGCCCGCACACACACTCGTCCTTCTCTCTCTGTGTGTGTGTTTTGCTTGAGCGCACCCATTCCGCGGGCTGCATGTGCGTATGATGATATGAGTAATTTGTGTGTGTGCTATCCGCCTCTCTCTGCCGTCGCTTTCTTCTGACACTCTTGTGGCGCACAGCTGCTCTGCAAGTATAGGCGCTGCCAAACACACAAGCACATGCGCACACGCACACCATTTGGCACACTCTGTGTAGCGGCGTGAACGCTGAGGACGCACGCACTCTGCGGATGGTCACGGCGGAAACTATGGGCCTCTGTGTGTTGGCGCTTGTGGTTGCCTTTGGCCACGCTCATATCCACCGTGTTGGAACGGCGGCGTGGTCGTGGGCCGGTGGAGAAATCAGCGGCGAACACGGTGACTTCCACGCCGTGGACTCACAGTAACCTTTTGGAGTGGCGGTGCGGAAGAAACGGTCATGATCATTGCAACGCCTTCACGCTCTTTATTGAGCATCCCGAAGGGAGAGCGGTGAAAGAAGATCCGTCCGCATGACTCTTTGCATTCCCGTTTCAGGGCTGCGCATCGTAATGAGGTTACCGTGCGGTGGCGTCACCCCCATGAGCTGTTGGGATAGAAAGGGAGAGCGCTGTGCGCTGCTCCTGCACGTGGGACGGGCGCTGAACAAGTGGTGGCAGGTTGGTGGCCGGTCACACAATTTTTGCGACACCACGAGGAGAGCAGACCAAAC